GTGGCTTTGGCTGCCTGGAAAACTGTATAGGATAGTGGATTGCAGGATGGATAACAACAGGGGACAGTGCTACAGGAAGAAATTGTTTGCGTGAGAAGATTTGCAAGCTGTCCTAGCAGGCACTTTCCACAATTGCAAAAGTATTAAAGAGTGTCAGGGGGTGGGAGTACTCCTTTTGTGGGGCTTGTTAACAGGCCCACAGCTACAGAAGCTCCTGTTGGCTGGTGAAGCTTTGAGGAGAAGTGGTCTGGTAGGAGGTGGGGCCAGGAAGCCATTAACTTTGGAACCTGATTTGAATGGAAAAATGAAATCTGAAGTACCCATTAATCAAGTACTGCAGAATATATTTCTGAACAGAACTGTGAACATAATATTGGTAAGGGATGATCAGTTTTAATGTCTGTTTCATTTTTATGCATTGGTAAGATGGTGCTATTAATAACTCATGTTAGTGTGAAATTAAATTCTTATGAATCTAAACTATATGGTAAAAGTGAGTTTCCTGGGTGGTTATCTTCGCTTAGGCTATGGCTACACTCTGAGTTTTGCCACAAGAGCCTATGCAAATGAAGCACGGATTAGCATTTTCTCGCGCTTTATTTGCATACTCTCTTTCGTCCCATTTTTGTGCTAGGGGTTTTTGCGCAAAAACAGGCAGTGTGGCTGAGACCATTTTGCCCCAAACGCCCTTTATCCGCAAGATCCTTATGCCTCTCTGGGACACTTCCCCACGCAGCAGCACAGTGAGTAGGGCAGCTGGGTGTGTTGGATCTGGATCTGGGGAAGCCTCACCGTGGCCCTGGTTCCAGCTCTGGTATCTGCTACATGGCCTGGCTGGCAGGGCTGTGTTTAGAGCAGCTGTGGCATGGGGGGTGCCCTGAGGTCATGTGGTGGGTGGCTGGTACCAGCTCCGGTGGGGTGCCAGTAGACCTGCCACAAGACCTGGCACAGCCACATGGCGGCAGAGGGGGTGGGATGGGGGAGAGGAACAGGGCCTGCCAAATTTTTGAAAGTTGTTTATAAAATGTTATGAGGTACAAAAGAATAACTAAAACAAGCTGATCTAATTCTATCTATCTGACTGTCTATCTATGCTAAATGGTGTGTTCGTGTGTGTTTCCATCTTGGTGGATATGTTAGCTTTATTATGGCTGTTTCACTTTCCCATCTTATTTTTCACTAAATCATAGAAAAAATCTTTTGCTCTGCCGCATCCTTGGCTTAAAGGCAGAAGATTAAATCATTTTCCAAAGGAAAAATTGTGGTAGAAAAGGACATTATTTTTAAGTGGAATCAGCATTCTTTGCCTGGCAGTTTAATCTCAAACCCGACAGAACAGCAATTGATTTTTGACTGATGTGTGAGAAGATTCTTTTTCTGACCTTATTTCTTGCCCCCACATTTTCTGTCTGCATCTTTATTTGTTCTAATATTTCAGTCTTGATGACCAGTTAACAACAGTTTTTTCTACTAGAAATCAAGTTGAATCTGACTAATGTTTGTTAATTTTAAAATGGGGCTGAAATTCTGAATTTTGCATGGTATTATTGAGTAAAGTTTGCATGTTAGCATAAAATAATGGCCCGGGCACACTATTTCCTATTCTAAAAGCATACAAATAATATATTCTAAAATTACTTCTGTATGTGTAAACTGCATATATTCAGCAGAGATTTACTTAGCATACTTCTGGATTTTTTTTTAAAAAAATTAGTTATTTTTACTGAAGGCAGAATAGAAGGAACTTTTGTAACTTTTAAGCAAATTGTAGTCCTAGAACTTGAAATTTTTTTAAAACTCCCTCAGAGGAAAATTGATTTTTTTGGTAACTTTCTTGTTGTAGAGTATTTATGACGATACAACACATTTATAAAACTACATCACTTATCAAGGAATTGATTGTTAGCACGTTGCTGAAATGTTTCATTTAAGTTTAACATGTGTAGATTACGAGACATATTATATAGCAATTTCTCATTTTCTTTTTAGGAAGAAAAGTCTAGAACCATCTATTAATCATTTCAGTGATGGTTCTGAAGCAGAGACTATCTTCTGATGGTGACAGAGTGCATTCTTTGAATCCATAAAGAGATAACTAGGAAGAAGAGAAATTGGAACTATTGATTGATATTGTTCAGCTGATGGAGTTTCCTTACACCACTGAAGGCTAATGGATTTCCCATCATTAACATCACTGGAATGGTATGAATATTGGGCACAATCTTTTCCTTAGAGTTATTGTAAAATAAGTGTTAGATAAGATTTGCTGGCCACATAAGTGTTTCCCATATCTACCCCTTAACCGAAAACTTAACAATCACCAGTGTAATCTTAGACCATTTTGGAAAGTTTTTTTTTCACATTTTCCTTCCATGTTTGTTTTATTTAAAAGTGTGATACTTTCTGCACTGCAGAGGGAATTAAGAGACCAAGAATACACAAACTATAGCTTCAAAGAACACTTGTCATTGTTGGGAGTGTGGAGGAGAGGAAAAAAATTCACCTTTTTCCCAACATCATCTTCCTCCCTTGTATTCAAGTACTGCCAAGGTAGTAATACATTCATATACACACACAACTCTTACCAAAGACTATGGCACTCTCGGGCTGTGTCCAGACTCAGGGTTTTTTTTCGAAAAAAGTAGCCTTTTTTCGAAAAAACTTCACCTGTGTCTAGACTGCAGCCGCGTTCTTTCGAAATTAAATCGAAAGAATGCGGCTTTTCTTTCGACGGTGGTAAACCTAATTCCACGAGGAAGAACGCCTTCTTTCGAAAGTGCTCTTTCGAAAGAAGGAGTTCTTGAAAGCAAACAGGCTTTTTAGAAAGAGAGCATCCAGACTCACTGGGTGCTTTCTTTCGAAAAAGCGGCTTGCTTTTTCGAAATTCCGCGTGCAGTCTAGACGCTCTCTTTCGAAAGAGGCTCTTTCGAAAGTATCTTTCGAAAGAGCCTTGCAGTCTAGACATAGCCTTGGTGCTTTTTGTGACACCATGTATCAGGACACAAAACTTGCACCTTGTATATTATTGAATGAGTTGTCAAAGCTTCTGAGTAGAGAGGATCACATTTTGCTAGACTCTGGAATATTTCTTTCCTTTCTTTCAGTGTCATTTTGTTCAGTCTTACTTGCATTGTCTCATGCCCTGGAGTCAGAGCACTGACAAATGTGGGATGTACATCCATCCATAGCATTGCACTTCTTTGTGAGATGTGAGCAGAGGGCAATGGGGAAAGGAAAGGACGTGGAGTGAGAGTCTTTCCCATTCTCCCATTACTATTAACTATTGTGATTTTTTTTTAAAGTGATTAGGTGATGATCTCAGCTTTCATTTTAATCGCGCTCTTGTTGTGGCAGAGAAAAGCTTGGAAATGTGACCCAAGTCTCTGAAAAATAAAGTAGTCCTGTAGCATCTTAGCGACTAACAAAAATATATATAGTATCTGGACTGATTAGGCATCAGTTGGAGTATTGTGTCAGTTCTGGGCACCACATTTCAAGAAAGTTGTGGAGAAATTGGAGAAGGTCCAGAGAAGAGCAACAAAAATGATTAAAGGTCTAGAAAATATGAGCTGTGAGGGAAGACTGAAAGAACTGGGCTTGTTTGGTTTAGAGAAGAGAAGACTGAAGAAGGGACATGATAGCAGTTTTCAGCCATCTAAAAGGGTGTTAAAAGGAGGAGGGAGAAAAATTGTTCTCCTTGACCTCTGAGAAAAGTACAACAAGAAATGGGCTTAAACTGCAGCAGGGGAAGTTTTGGTTGGACATTAGGAAAAGACTTCCCTACTGTCGGGGTGGTTAAACACTGGAATAAGTTGCCTAGGGAGGTGTGGAATTTCTATCACTAGAGATATTTAAGAGGTTAGACAGACATCTATCAGGGATGATCTAGATGTTGCTTGGTCCTGCTGTGAGGGCAGGGGAGTGGACTCGATGACCTCTCGAGGTCCCTTTCAGTTCTAGTATTCTATGATTCTTACTTTTGTGGACAAAACCCACTTCCTCAGATAAGAGTGGAGAAAAAAAGAATAACCTCCCAACTTATAACAGAAAAAGAACGGAGAAGGGGAGAATAAAAATACCTGTCAATTGTAGTGCTGGTGTGATACTATATATATTTTTTGTTAGTCTCTGAGTTGTTACAGGACTACTCATTTTTTCAGAATTACAGACTAACATGGTTACCCATCTGCAAATTTTAAATATCCAAGTCTCTGAGAGAGTATCAAAAATCAAGAGGCAAAATGAGAGAACCTAAAAGGCATTTAAAAAAAACACACCTGGTAACCCAATCTCATTATTTTGATAGGGAGAGGAAGTGTGTGGCTCTTTGTTTTTTAACTCTTGGGGTTGCTAGTCCTGCTTTGCTCAACACACAATGACTGATGGAGTGTTAGTGGGGAGTAAGAATCTGCATAAGGCCTTTTGTACTATATAAGGCTGGTGAATAAGTGTATAATTCCCTGGGAGGAAAAGGGATCCTTGATCAGTCATAGCTTCTTCCTCAGCCTGTTCCAGATGGCGTCACTGTTAAGGTACTGAGTAAATGCTTAATCTAGCCATGCACGAGCAACTGAGAAGATAGTGCTGGATTTTCTAGGTTTCTGAATCTTTCAAATTGTTTTAAAAATCGAGTGGTATGTGTTACGCTGAGTAGGAGTAATGAGAATGTTATGTTTGTGTAGTTAGCCCCAAATTTTCTAATATATGTGTCTAAAGTTAAATATTCAAGTTCACCTGTTGGCCCCCAAATAAAGTAGGCTGAATTATCAGAGGTTTTTGAGCTTGAACTCCCTGGAGGTGAATATTGAAGTCAGTGGACGCAGAACATGCTCAGCGGCCCCATCTGTTAGTCTACCTGTTTCATGCTTATGTGTGGATTTAAGTGTCTAGCTTTAGGTACCTAGATTTAAAAGATTGGTCTTTGTGTGACATAATTTCTCCAGTGAGAATATCTTAAACTGAAATGGAATGGAATGGCTCTGGCTCAGTCAGAGCACAGGGATACTATTCAGTTAGTGTTTCAAAAGTAAATGGTAATTTTTCAGTACAACATCAATGTCACTTCTTTCTGTCCTCCAAATTTCCTGTGTGCCCACATTAAGTGAGGCTACCTCAGTGCTTTTGTGTCTTAATCAATAGAAAAACAAATTCCATTTATGAAGTTATATACCCAAATATCTATAGCTCAAGTGTCTTGCTTTTATTGAAAGACATGAAGGTATTTTACAGAAAGACCAGATGAGAGATGTAAAAGAACTCTAGAATCCAATCAAGTCAGGGCGATTTGGATTTTCTTACTTAGACTAAATTCACATTGAATTCAATTATATCTGAAAGCAATAGGAATTTTTCTGGATTTAGAAATAGCTCCTTGGAAATATCTGAGAATCAGTCTGCCTTCAAGTTTGGAAAGAAAGCTTTTCCTGAAGCTTTTGTCATGACGTAGTGTACTTCTATTTGCAACCTCACTTTGGTTTAACCTCTTCTAGAATTCTTTGAGGGGTCAACAAGGATGTGGACACAGGGGGGTCCAGTGGAGATGCTTACATTTTCAGCAAGCCTCTGATAAGGTCTTTCCCCACAAGAACATAAGAATGGCCATACTGGGTTAGAAAAGGTTCAAAAAAGGGCAACTAAAATGATTAGGGGTTTGGAACGAGTCCCATATGAAGAGAGGTTAAAGTGACTGGGGCTTTTCACTTTAGAAATGAGGAGACTTAGGGGGGATATGATAGAGGTATATAAAATCATGAGTGGTGTGGAGAGGATGAATAATGAAAAGTTATTTATTAGTTCCCATAATAGAAGAACTAGAGGACACAAAATGAAGTTAATGGGTAGCAGGTTTAAAACTAATATAAGAAAGTTCTTCTTCACACAGTGCATAGTAAACCTGTGGAACTCCTTGCTAGAGGAGGCTGTGAAGGCTAGGACTATAACAGAGTTTAAAGAGAAGCTAGATAATTTCATGGATGTTAGGTCCATAAAAGGGTATTAGCCAGGGGATAGAAATGATGTCCCTGGCCTCTGTTTGTCAGAGGCTGGAGAAGGATAGCAGGAGACAAATCACTTGATCATTGTCTTTGGTGCTCCGCCTCTGGGGCACCTGACGCTGGCCACTTTTGGCAGACAGGCTACTGGGCTAGATGGACCTTTGGTCTGACCAAGTATGGCCATTCTTATGTTCTTATGACTCCATTAAGGCAAGAGGTTGTAATGGAATTGTAGGTTAATTTTAAACAATTTTCTGCTCTCTTTTTAATTTAAAGTACATGTGATGACTCCTGTTGAAGTCCATGGCAAACTCCCACTGGCTTCAGTTGACACAAGTTCAGGCCCATTGTTAGTTGTGAATTCTCAGCCTCTTTCAGGATCAGGTCCTAAAGAAGAGTGATTCATGTTTTTTGTGTAATTATGTGCTCTTTCACATGACAAGAAGGAAATTTAATTTCTGAGAAACAGGGCTGGAGTGGGTGCATACTTAGATAATGAGATGTTGTGTGGGGGGAAAAAAAGTTACATATGTTCAGCTTTTACCTTTCTGGTCTTTTGTTTTCCTCTGTAAAAGTATGGCTTGCTGTAACTAGAGAAAAGTACTATATATTTTAAAGGTTTTTATGTGATCACTTGAAGTAACACAATTTATTTTGTAATACATGATATGCACTTTGTCTATCTCATTTCATCAGAGAGAACTGCAGTCTAAGAGTCCTATTTCTTCTTTCTTTCTTTCAGGATATGAAAGAAATCAGCCATGATGGAAAAGTATTATGTGAAGGACTGTACTAAAGACTTCATGATTTGTTAATGTGAAACACTTAGGCTGCTTGGCTATTGGGTCAGTGTGAAGTGAGGGATTTTTACTGTGAACTTGAAAAATAAATATGTCCAAGAAAAGCCGTGCCAAAGGAGAGCGGTCCGACATGGAGATAGAAGCAGTTCAGGCTGCTAATGAGGAACTACGGATTAAACTGACCAACATCCAGATAGAATTCCAGCAAGAAAAAAGCAAGGTATCTGTTTCAAAGCAGTACGTTAGGTTATGAAACCACAGACCATTTCACACCAATGTGTCTCAGAATGATGTCTTTTCAAAAGGAGTTGAAATTGGTTTGGATCTATGCACTGTCACATGGACTGAGCACTAATTGAGAGACCGTAGGCAGAATGAAATGAATAAAGAGCAAAGTATTAAACAGCGAGGAGTTGTGTAATGAAATGTAATGGTACTAGATCCAGTCCTACTTAAAACCTTCATTAGTAAGAGTAAGTGAATATCTGTTAAATTTGCAGTGTTGCTAAATCAAGAGATATTAACAAAATGTGACTAAAAGATATAAAGTGAATGATCAGTAGGTTTTATCAGAGTTCAGTATTTGCATCTGGGAAAGAAACTAAAGGAAAAGTTGAACTCTTAGACATTCAAAGCATTCTACTTAAGTTCATGTGAGAATGCAGACTGACTATGGAAATCACTGATGCAGTCCTGATTTGACCCCATTAGCTTGCATGTATATTGGCTATTTGCATATGGAACAGCCATCTAAATGTTGCTGTTCACAGTGTAATTGCTCCAGATATGTAAATAATCAGTGGCATACTCAGGAGATTTTGTTCATTCATCAATGATATATATTCAAACAGCTGTTTGCATGTATAATTTTATTTCCTTGCAGCATCTCAGAGGTATGAATGGACCTGCAGGCCTATTATTAATTCATTGAGCACGATCAGTGCACTTCACTGCCTACAAAACACCCAGAACTTTATAGACTGCCTGATCCACGCTTAAGTATTTTTTCTGCATTTCTCAGGTAGTCCCAGAAATGTTATATTTATTCCATAGCATGAATGAATATGGTGAGGTAATCGTGTAATGTATAAATTCTATTCTCGGACTTTTTCGCATAGCGGAGTAAAACATTTCGCATACAACCGTTGGCATGTGGATTCAGAGACCTGTAATCAGAGAAGACCCACTCCCCACTAACATTTCCTGGTGGCTCCACTTCTCTTTTTCCATCATTTATATCTGAAGGTAGATTTTGAACTAGAAGGAAAAAAAATTCTGTCTGCCATTTACAATACAGGCAGTCCCCGGGTTACGTACAAGATAGGGACTGTAGGTTTGTACTTAAGTCGAATTTGTACTTAAGTCGGAACTGGCATCCAGATTCAGCTGCTGCTGAAACTGACCAGCAGCTGACTACAGGAAGCCCGA